TCCATACACTTTTTAAATTCTTCTGCCTCGGCCAGTAGCGCATCTACCTGTGAGTTAAGCCATCCAATCTGCTCGATCCTCTGCCGAACCTGCAAAATCGGATCATTAGTGGTTATCTCTTTTTCATCTTCACTATCATGGAACATTCGGAATACCTGCTCAGCCATCTCCTTATGCTCTTTCCGAGCCGCTGTCAAATATGCTCGAAATTTTTCACTAAGTAGCTTGTACGAGTCACTCTTTTCAGTGAGGCTCCGAACCCCGGCATCCTGCTGCTCCCGGATTCTGTGGCCATAACTTCTGCTTGAAGTGCTTTAAAAAAATGGATTGGTCAAGGTAAAGATAAATGTGTCAAGTGCCGCAGTCAAATTAGTCGCCAAATGATTGATCAGCCACGTATAAACTCGGCATTAGTGACTGCCATAAGAATGGCGAAGGAATCGAGAAAGAATAATGCCCCTAGAAGGCCTCAACCAGCCTATCATCAGGTGAGCAGATCTGGCGAATAGATCTAGTTATAGTAGTATTGTTTACAAGTTCAACTTAAACTTATAGTAATATTTTGACATACAATAAAAAGATTTATATGAAAAATCACTAAAATTAATTTTGAATAGTATAAGATAAAGAAGTGTTAGGAACCTTAAGGTTGAACGCATCAAATTTAAATTTTGAATTTATATATGCAGATGAGTGAGGAAGTTCGTCCTGATAACCCATTTATTAGGGAAGGAGCAGCTAAAAGGGCTGGAATGGCTAATGCATCAAGCGGGGGACCATCCCTTCGGATCATTTCGGCCCAATATTAGCCGAGAATGATCCGGAGAGAAATCAAGGTGTTTTGGTAGGGGAGTCGTGGACACATCGTTTGAATTGCAGGCAATGGGGTGTGCACTGGCCCCATGTGGCCGGAATTGCTGGACAAACAAAATATGGTGCGCAATCCGTGGTGCTCTCAGGTGGCTACGAAGATGACGAGGACCATGGAAAATGGTTTCTCTACACTGGAAGGTACAGTTAATTAATTATCTCTATATATGAGCTTAATTTCAACATTTCTTGTTTAATTGAAGGTAGTATTTTAGACTCGAGGCATGCATGTTCCTATATATACAAGTTAACATCTATAGGTAATTCTCCTTTAAAATTCCTTACGATCTATATAACTTAAATTTTATTATATTATAGTAGCTCCTTTTAACTGAAGCCTTAAGCTTTAGGAGGGAAAAACAATCTAAGCAATTGAGATTTTGATTATCTCGATGAGTCCCTCTTAGATCTAATTATTTGCTCTGTGACTGTTTCTAATATTATTATTTTACGAGAAATTAATTAAGACCTTCCTTCTCTTATTGCAATATATATGCAGTGGGGGAAGGGATCTAAGTGGTAACAAACGAACGAATGAGGATCAATCATTTGATCAAACATTCACCAATTCCAACGAAGCTTTGCGAGTCAGCTGCCAAGAAGGTTATCCAGTTCGTGTTGTTAGGTAATATATCATAGAATTTGATGAGTAATATATTTTTTTTCATTAAGCAAGTCATGACTCCCTTGTAGTTATTGTATAAATACAATGATTAAAACTGAAGTAACAATTAATGTGATATATTTTTTCTATTAAAGTTGACTCATACACATTTTTATGCATGATCAGATCTCATAAAGAAAAGCGTTCATCCTATGCCCCACAGGATGATCTTCGTTATGATGGTGTATACAGGATAGAGAAGTGTTGGAGGAAAATGGGAAAACAGGTAAAATATTTCTTTTATAAATTATAAGATTCCATAAACTTCTCTAGCTAGCTGTTAATTAATATTAATTATTCTAATTCAACTGACTGAATTTGAGACATCATATGTATTTTTATCATCAGGGGTACAGGATGTGTAGGTACTTATTTGTGAGATGTGACAATGAACCAGCCCCGTGGACGAGGTTTGTACATGTTTTCTTACTTCCCCAATTGATTACTCTACTACTGTTTAATTCTTAGCTGCAGATTAATTATATTCTTATGCAGTGATGAGCTTGGGGATATGCCTCGGCCCTTGCCAGAAATTCCTGAACTTGAAGATGCCCTTGACATTTTTGAGAGGACCCGCAGTCCTTCATGGGATTATGCTGTATGATATTCTTTTCCTTATAATAAACTTTTTGAGTACTTTAATTAGCATGCAATATTTTGTTTTTCAGTTTTCCATCACGAACACTAACTTAACTCTTAGAAATTTCTCGAGTATTTACATATATAGTACAGTACTTTCGAAGGAGTTTAATTTGTATATACTTTGATAATGTGAAAGATTTTTTATACTATCAAGTCATATAAAGATAATTATAGGTAAAAAACAGAACTAGTTAGCATATTATTTGTTACGACAAGTTAAAACATATTGATAGCATTAAAAATCTCTAGGTGTTTTCTCTAAATTCTATTAAAAATATATTATTGGAAAAATAATTCATGTCTGGCCAAGAGGAAGAAGGTAGGTGGAAGTGGAAGAAGCCAGCACCGCCAAGCCAACAAAGAGTAATTGAAGGAAGTTCGACGGATAGGAAGAGAGCAAGGAAGACACCAAAGAAAACATCTATGAATAAGACACTTTTAAAAGGTTAAGCAAAACCAATACTAGTTAGTAGTAATTAGTATAGTATATTTCTCACCCTTTCCCTTCTTTGTTTCGGATACGTCTAATGCAAGTAAGATTAATTAATCTAAGTAGTGATTAATTTGTTATTTGACGCAGGGTTCAGTTGTCTACTTTGCAAGAATGTGTTAACTCTCCCTGTGACAACTCCTCGCGCTCATAACTTTTGCAAAGCTTGCCTTGAGAAAGCATTTAAAGGACAATCCTTTGTAAAGGAAAGGGAATGCCATAATGGGCGAAAGCTTCGGACAAAGAAGAATTTTATGAAATGCCCCACATGCCCACTTGACATTTCTGAGTTTTTGCAAAATCCTCAGGTTAATAGAGAGCTGGAGGATGCCATTGGGAAATTACAAGAGGAGTTTGATGAAAAAGACAATACTGATGATGATATTGAAGATGTAAAGGAAGAGGTTATAATTAAAGAGGATAATGAGAGTAATGTCTAATGATGATGACATCCCTTCAAATGATAACAAGTCAAACAAGAAATTAAAAGAAAATTGATGCTGGGGAAATTGATGGTAGTAATTAGCTGATGTCCTGATTATTGAGGAACTTTTTAATTTAGTAAAAAACGTAAACATTTGTCAAGGAGTTATATCCACATATTGGACCTATTTCCTAACATATGTCATCTTATTACGTCTCTTGAGGATTTTTATTTGTATTTTGTATTCTCTGCCTGAAATACATTAATATTTATTTAGTACTTTAGTTTTATTTGATGTGACAATATTTGATTTAGCATGAAATTTAAAATATTAGTTTAATTTATATGTTGTATTAGATATGTTGGAAGAAAATTATTAAGCTAGTTTAAAAGCTAGTTAGATAAATTAAATGTCTGACGCCTTTTAATTAGATAATTAGGAGGTTGACTGTGAAGATGATTAACCAATTTAAATTAAAAGTACAAAAATTGCTTGTTCGAAACCGTAAAGATAAAATAATAAGTAGAAAGAGGTAGTAATCGGCCAACTAAAACAAAAGGTTGCTGTATTTGCACAGACAAAAAAGTGGCTATGCCATTGAAAAAAATATTGGTATGATGCCTGGTTTGTTAAGAGAGTGAATAGGAGGTTAGGTTTGCCAAAAATTTTAAATCGTCGCTAATATTTAAATACAGGCCTTAAAAGTGATTATTTGTGCAAACGGCCAGTTGAAGTAATTGGGTTTGGGTCTTCTCTAAACCTGTCCAAGAAATGGGCGTAATGCGCTTAAATGGGTCGTAAAACAAAACCGTCTTCGAACTCGGAGTACTGAGTAAATTGGTTCCTTCCAAAGCAGCACACTAAATTTTACACTCTTTGATGGATTGCTTGTTTCCTTCAAGTATTTGCTTCTTACTTGTCTCATCCTCGCCGTAGTCAGGTTTTTTCTCCTCTCTTTCTCTTTCTCATTATTCAATTCTAATTGCGTGCAACAACCTAAAACTTTTGTAGTTTAATGAGGTGAAATTGTTAATTAATCCTTTTGATTCTGTTCAAACTAAGACATATTTTGTTAAACTGTACCTTCTTTTGGTTATTTGATAAATCATTTTCTGACTTTTTCCATTCGGTGAAAATCCTCAGGCGAAGTGCTCTGTGTTTTGTTGAATACATTGAAATTCACTCTCCTGCCTAATTGTAATTTTAGTATTTTGCTTTACAGGGACCTTCTTGTAGCTGTATTTTATAGGATATTTGAATTGGTAAGTATCTTGCATAGATATACAGTAACATAGGCATAAGCTAACCTCTTTAAGAAACATAAGAGCACATGATGATAACATACTCCTATATATGGTTGGAAACTTAACTACATAAAAATTTAGTGAGGAGTCTTTTTATGGTAGTGATTTTTTTTATTTGCACTCTATATAATATAGTTTTGATTTGTTCTTTAGGTGAGGAATACATAAATTGTGTAATTATGATCTTCACTCTAATTGGAAAAGTAAAAATAATGTTATCTGCCAAATCATGGGGCGTGAGGCGAGGCGTTTTACCGACCAACTTTGTCGGTTAATTCGGCCGGTCATTTTAAAAAACCGATCAACTTTGGTCGGTTATTTTCGTGCGAAAATACAATTAAAGAGTATGAATCAAATAAAAGACAGCCTTAAAACAAAATGTACCAATGGTCTAGTGGTAGAATAGTATCCTGCCACAGTACAGACCCCGGTTCGATTCCCAGATGGTGAATCTTTTCATTACATAATTAAAATACCGACCAACTTTGGTCGGTTTTTTTTGCAATATTTTTTTTTTTGAATTTAATTGACCAACCAAAGTTGGCAGGTAATTTCCGACCAACTTTGGTCGGTATGCTTTTCCGACCACTAAAATACCGTCCACACGTAAATGGTCGCGTTTTGGACGGTTATTGGCCATTACCGACCAAAGTTGGTCGGTTTTTTTGGTCGGTTTTTACCGGATTTGTAGTAATGCATGCGAGACTCATTTATCTTATCAGATGGTTTAGTGTATAGATGGACAATTTTGATTGGCTTGATGTTGCTGATGTTCCATTTTTCTTTTTCCTCCTATTTTCTCATAAGGATTCATGTACCTAATCTTTGATTGGCTTAGAGTAAATCATTTCAATCTTCTCCTGGAAGAATACATAATTTGAGCTAACTGATGCAAAACCTGCTATTAAACCACCAAATGATGTCTTTTTGAAATGGAATGGAATGGACCCTTTTCTGGCAATGGAAATGGTGTCTTTTTTTCTTTTGAGATTATTGTTTTCCTTTTGCCTTTCTTCTCATTCTTAAAATTCCTATATTTAATCTGTTGATTATGTAATCACCTATTCACCCCACTTGCGGGATTATATATGTAATCAACCTATTCAATCTTAAGGAAAAAGAAAATGTTAACATTGGATGGCTTCAAGTAAGGGATACGGTTCATATAAGTGAAAGATCTTAGATAAACTGCAAATATGAATAAGAATTAGTAAATCGAACCCTTACGTAGACAAATTTATACCAAATGTTCAGCGCCCGAAATGAATACATAGAGGTGTTTCTTGTTGTTCTCTTCTTTCTTGGTCATAAAGAAAATAAGCAAGCTCATTTATTTTATTCTACTAATAAGGCCCCAGCCTCCACAGTATCTACATCTCCCACTTTTTGTCCTATTATCTGCAATAGAAAAAAATTGAATGACATTGAGCAGAGGGTCTAGTGGAAACAACCTCTCTACTTGCACAAGGTAGGGATAAGGTCTGTGTACTCATTGCCCTCCCCAGACCCCACTTATGGGATTACACTGGATTGTTGTTATTGTTGTTTTATGGGATTGTTGCTATTGAAGTGTGTGTATCTTATCGTGTAAAAACTTCAATTTAATAGTTTTGCATTTGCAACACTCCCTCTGTTTTTTTTTCTTGATCGGTGATGGTGAGGCTCGAAACCAGAACTTCAGTCTATTCTGATATGCTCTAATATCATACTGAAGTGTATGAACTATCTAATCTACGATGTTATCTGAATTGTATGGACGGCTAGTTTAAAAGTTTAAACTGTTAGAGAAGGGATACTCTTTTTTATTAATTTTTAGGTCTACTACAATAGCAGAAAATTGTTAAAAAGTGTCACAAAAATGATGAGTGTGCCATGATAGCTGGTTGAGTAATGTACGAAAAACTCTGAATGATATTGCAATACTGAAAAAGCCTCATTTGAATTGCTCTCGCCTGAGTTTGTTATTTTATTTTGAGAGATATTTAAAGAATGTATTTAACTAGTTCGATATCCAGCTGGCTTCAAACAGTTTCGGCTTCCATAGCCTTGCAGCCTATTCTTTTGTATTTGCTTCCCCTGGGCACCGGTCTTGGTAACATTAATGTAGTTAACTGCAACCATTTTTTATTTTAGTTTTGCAATACTGCTTTTTGGATGGTTAAAAAAGAATAATGTGCTTACTGATACTCACTTCGCAGAGGTGCTTGGGAGGATAGAATCCTGTTTTGAGCTGAGCCTCTATTGCCAAAGAAAAAAGGGAAAAAGAAGTAGAAGAACTACCGACCAAAAGGAAAAAAAAGGATTAACTTTTGAGGTTCATTATACTATTGGAACAAAAGTTGCGTTATTGTTTAGGTGGAACATTACTTTCAATTTTTGGAATCAATTTGATTTTTCTTACGTAGTTTCTTTGCTATGCAGAACTAAGTTTATCTGGGAGAACATTCATGTTTCACATAAGTCTGTTGGTTGCTTGACATCTGTTCTGTCTTCTTAATTGCAGCCTGTGAGAATTCTTACAGATGTGATTGTTATGGGTTCTGGAATAGTGGTAAGGGCCTTTGCTCAGGCATGTCATCAGGCACTTGCAAGTAAGTTTCCGTGAACATATGTCCGATTTGTTGAATTGATTCTTAATTTTACAACAGTTAGCATTAGCATTTTACACCCAAAAAGAAGGTTTTCTTAATGGGCTTTACTGATTCATATTTGAGCAAAACCAGCAGGGTACTTTGTTGACAATCCCAGCTAGGTGTTCCTGCAGTGAAAGCAAGTGCAAATGGAAATAATCTTCCATCTAATGCTGCACAGCTGCAGGATCAAGCTCTTGGACTATCGAATTACAGTACCATAGATCATGATATAAAGTAGATTGTATTTCTGCTTGATGACTCAGTTATACCCCGGTGATAAAAAATGCTCGATGTTTTGCCTCTTTATTGATTGCCTGCCAATATTTAATTTGGAATTTAAAATGTGTTTGGTTAATGGCAGATTCCTCAAAGAACCAGTGCCGCCCATGAAGCAATACACAATATAAATGAGCAAGCAAAAAATCAGAGGCTACACAAATTCTTGGTTTGCGGAGCATTCATCATGGGAGGACGCGTTGCAGGTTTTTCTCATTGCGATTGCTGTTTTTGTTTTTTGTGTTGGAGCGCATTGCACTTGAATTCTTCTCTTTATCTATATTTTCGCCAGAGATATGTTTACTTATATTTGAGAGATGCAAAGACTTGGGAGTTTTCATCTTCAAAGTTCATAGTATCAAAGAGTCTTCAGAAACAAGGTGCCAGGGTAGGACAGGATCCAAATTAGTAAACTGGAGTATTATTTTTGCTCTGCTTGTGCTAGAGAATCTCCTGGTCTTTTAAGGAATATTTTGAGCAGAAGGGCATTGCTCCAGTCACCAGATTTTCCGGTAAAAGTTTCCGTATGTATCTGTTGTTTCATGTGCTTGTGGCAGTAAAACCTTGCGAGTGTGATGAAGCGCTATCGGCTATGCCCGCTGATATTGGTGGAGGAACTTTAAATTGCGGTTAGACAATTGAGAGTAAAATTAAAGAATGGCTCTTGGTAATTTGTCATTGGTGTAAGATTTGATCTCTTGCAAAACTTACAAGTTATTAGCTGTTCGATTGAGTCCATCAGGGAGAAGCAGCTTGAGGAATCACCCTTGTGAAGAGGCATAGTTCGATTTGAAGTATAATGGTGTTGAAAAATAAACCCGACCATAATTGGTTTGGTTTGGTTTTAACTAAATAAAGTCAAACCGAAATCAAAATAATCCGACATTATATTTATACAATTTTTAAAAATATTTTATACATATAAATATTTATTGTAATATAATTTATAAATATTTTTAAACATGTTCACAGTTTTGTCTTTAAACTTATTATTTAAAGTTTGGACTTAGCATTCTTGAATGGTCCAATAAATTATATAACCCATAAAAGTAGTAAGTCAAATAAAGTTCAAATCAATACTGTTGCTAATAAAGGAAATTCAATTCAACACTAGTAATGATGTTGGATATCTATTTCTTAGTTTTGCATTGGTTTATAATAAAAATGCATAACCTAGTTTATCTTTTTCTTTAGTGTTTGGTTGTGTAATTAATAGTACTTATTTTAACATGACTTGTATAGTGTTTTTAGATTATGTTAATTTTATTATGGCGTATTAAATAGTAATATTTTCTTTATGCGATTTTATTATCTTTGTTATTGAATATTTTAGTACAATGCTATGACTCATTTCATATTATTGTGTTATTTATTTGAAAAATACATTTTATAGTTGTATTCTACTAGGACTAAAGAAATATTTAGAGCACAAGTTACATATTTGGTGCTACGAAGATTTTACCGGAAAAAAACCCGAAAATTCGAGAAAAACTGAGTTTGAAAAATCCGACTTTATTGATTTGGTTTGATTTATAAATTTAAAAATTCGATATCATTGGTTTGATTTGGTAATTAAAAAATTTGAACCAACCCGACCTATGTACCGAAAGATATCATATACTAGTTGACTAGGATGCCACCATTTAAGAAATATAGTAGGGGTTAGACTTGAGGTCGATAGAAATAACGCCGAAGAGTTGCAGGACATGGGCGTTGGGATAATAACTTGTATTAAAGGATAATAGTGCAGAGATATATGATTTTGGAGAAAGTTATGTAAAATATGAGGATTTTTTTTATGTTCTTATCTGTTACTAGTAATAATGATTTCAACGATATAAGTATCGGATACACGTGTGGGTAGCTAGTGAAAGGAATTTAGCAAGTCGGCGTGCCTAAAAAAAGAAGAAACAGTTGTACTATCATATTCAAATGTAATTATTATTAGCTGCGCGAATCACTCCTTTTTATCTTCCCTTTCTTCTCAATAACAAGTCATTATCATGAAAATCGTAGTAACATTTTAGTATTGTTTTAAGTATAACGAATACTGGACTCCTAACATCTTGAAAAGACGCATACAGCTTTTACTATTGTGGTTTGGCACATGAATCTTGACAAACTAATATGAGGAATTTAGATTTAGACAACTAAATTAATCAAACATGAGGAATCTTTAAAAAAATATTATATCCCTCCTATATGTTCCACATTTGGTTATATTCGAGTTAACTTCTATGAGTGTAAAAGGAATTTTATCAGGTACTAAAAACAATTACAAGTGACCAAGTAAAGTGTGATATTTATAACCCAAAAATAAGGCATGTTACTATTGCTAGGGGTGTACAAAAAAAAAACAGATAAATCGTACCAACCCGATAATTCGAGTCAAACCGAGAAAAAAAACCCCGATTGTGGTTTGGTTTGATATTGAAAAAAAAAATCCGACCATAATTGGTTTGGTTTGGTTTTAACTAAAAAAAGTCAAACCGAAACAAAACCAACTCGACATTACATTTATACAATTTTAAAAAATATTTTATGCATATAAATATTTATTGTAATATAATTTATAAATATTTCTTAAACTTGTTCATAATTTTACCTTTAAAAGTATTATTTAAAGTTTGGACTTAACATTCTTGAATGGTTCAATAAATTTTATAGCCCACAAAGGTAGTAAGTCAAATAAAGTTCAAATCAATACTAATGTTAATAAAGAAAATTCAATTATGGACTGCTTAAAGAAAGGATGCCTCTCATCAATTTAGTCCATTATGGTTTTCTTTATCATTCTGGACTACTAAATTCAGTTCTAGCAGTGGCCATCTCACGAAATTGGCTCATTCGCCAACTTGACGTGAATGACGATAGTGTTCTATTTTTTAGTTTTGCATTAATTTATATTGAAAATGTATAACTTATTTTATCTTTTTTATGCTTAGTTATGTAATTATAATACTTATTAGATGTACTTATTTTAGCACGACTTAGATAGTATTTTTAGATTATGTTAATTTTTATTATTGTGTATTAATTAGTAATATTTTCTTTGTGCGATTTTATTATTTATGTTATTGAATATTTTAGTACAATGTTATGTCTCATCTCATATAATTATTTTATTTTCTTGAAAAAATACATTATATAGTTGTATCCTACTAGGGCTAAAATAAATATTTTGAGCACAAACTACATATTTTGTGCTATTAAGACTTTACCGGAAAAAATCCCGAAAACTCGAAAAAACCGAAATTGAAAAATCTGACTTTATTGGTTTGGTTTAGTTTATAAATTTAAAAACCCGACGCTATTGTTTTGGTTTGGTAATTGAAAAATCCGAACCAATCCGACCTATGTACACCCCTAACTATTACAACGGATTAAAATAAACTAATAATAGGTATAGCCGTATAGGTCTTAATAGTCCTACCATAACAAAGGCGGATTAATTATTAACTTTCTCTGATCCCAAATATTAGTCGCTTTGGCAAAATAATTTTGTTTCAAAATATTTGATACTTTAGTAAAATAAGAAATCATTTGCTCTTACTTCTTTCCAGATCTACCTCTCTACTCTAACTAGTGGAGTATTACTGTATTAGTTAAGCGAGAGAAAGATAGTAGTTTAGACAAATATTCTTATGATCTATAAAATAAAGTGTGCAAAATCTAAAAAGATAAATATGAACGGGAAGTAACAATTGATTAAAAAAAACACATCAACCAGTATTCATATATTCCATATATTATTACTTCAATAAAAAATTATTGGAATACGAAAGGGACTCGAGAAACCCTTTAATAGGGCTTGCTTTAGGATGAAAAGCAATTAACGTACTTATCTATGTTATTAAAGAAACTTTAGATAAAACTAGGTGAACGCCCCCCACCCATGATGGGTCTTGAAGAAAAAGCAAAGAAATGAATCATGATTTATGAAAGTTAGACGGTCCTTGTTTCGCTACGTGTTTTATTCATTTTCATCGTTGAATGATATGACTTTCTTTTTAGCATGATTGTAACAACAACAAAAGATAATATACTTTGTCGAGGTAAAATGATTGTTTTCGATAAATTCCCGGATCAAAAAAAATATAAATTCGGCAATACTAAAAAGAAAATACAGTAATGAAAAAGCCGTTTAATATGGTGTAGTCGGTTTAAATTTATATATTGGCTAGAATTCGTCAACCAAAGCCGAATTCCATGACTTCTTGGATTACTTTGTTAAACATTTGTTCAACCTTTCACATTTGTTCTCTCTCTATCTCTTTATAAAGGTAATATAAGATACAGAGAATGCAGACCTAGAAGTTGAAAAATGCATGCTGTAAGTTCACTTTACTTTCACTCTATTCTCAAGCTACCCTTTTTAAGACTAAAATATAGTCATCTTCAACTTGTTTTTCAATAAAGCTTCTGAGAATGATCAGACATGCACGTTTATATGCTAAAAGAGGAAGCTCAGATGATCATTTTTTCAAGCTTTGGAATTAATGCCAAAAGGTCAGTTTTCAAACTAGCTTCATAACAAAGGAAAGGGAAGTATATATGCCTTTTCTTTCTTATATATATATATCTATTTTTTCTACTTTTTCTCCCTCCTTTTTTAAGTTCGCCGGTTTATGTTTGGAATGTTTGATGTTCTTTAACAATCGGCTAAAATATCGTCGGAATTATCAATTAAATAAAAAATTATTTTATATTATACAAAAAGTCAGCCCGATATATGCCCAAAGTATCTCGAAGTATATACAGAGTCCGAAAAAAGACGTATACGAATAGTTAATATTGGTCCATTGTGCCCTGATCACTCTATGGCTTAAGCGCCGCAATCATTAATTGGTGAGCAGGACGTCTTTACTACCTATACGTAGGATTTGACTTATACGCAGCGATGTTCAAGAAAATATTGCACAGTATTATTTAATTTTTTATTACTCTCTTATAATTGTAAATCTATTTGACTGGACACGGAATTTAAAAAAAAAAATATTTTTAGAACTTGTGGTCTTAAACAATTTAAAAAGGGATCCACAATATTTGTATGGTTATAAAAGCTTCTCATTAAGGGTAAAATTGTAAGTTTAAGTAAAATTATTTTCAAATTTAGAAAGGAGTCATTCTTTTTAGAACAGACCAAAAAGGAAATAGGTTCACGTAAACTGGAACGGAGGTAGTAGTAGATTGTCTTTTTATTTTTCATATAATTAATCTACTTCATCGGACAGCTATATGTTATTATATTTTAGGGCGTTTAAAAAATTAAAATTGTCTTTGTATAGAACTTAAGCTCCTATATATACATAATCTAATATGTGGGTCTGAAAAAAGTAGTGAGTACGCAACCTTACTCCTATCTTGTGCAGACTGAGACTGTTTTCGATAGAATATCGGCTCAAAGCAAGCATGCAAAATCACAACAATCTTAAGAAGAAATATAATAATGTAAATCTTCTAATATTGGTATTATTGTATATGATAAATAAAATCAAATGGTTAAGATGTAGGGAAATCGCGAAATATTTCGTATGTTCACTATGATCTATTAACGGTAGGAAGCTGATCGAAAACTGGATATCCTTACTTACTTAGCAGTATCATCTACTACTTTATACCAGGGGCGGAGCTAGCATAGAGCTTGCGGGTTCGGCGGAACTCAGTAACTTTGATCCAAATCATGTATTTGTCTTAAAACTTCATTGAATATGTATAAATTGTTAATTTAGAACCCAGTAACATAAATGAATTAGAATCTCGAACCCACAAACTTTAAATTCTAGCTTCGCCTCTAATTTATACGTAACAATTAAAGGAAAGGACGGCGTTCCACAAATCTAATTGCCTATAATGCAACTGAACGGAAGCAAAACTTAGTTGCCCAATAATTGCGTTCCCCCTCGTTCTTACTTTAATTAATTTCCTTGCCATGCAAAAGAGGCAATTCAATTACTAGCCAACTTCAGCTACAACGTAACATAATCAAAATTCTATTCTTCTATTAGCTATATATAGCTATTAGCTTCCACTTATTTAACTTGGCATCATTATGCATGTACCATTTTCATTGAATGCCATATGCTTTACAAATACTCACATTGAGAAACATGGACTAGGTGTAACACTTGACAAATTTGTAATATTTTTTTGAGACGATTTAAAATTATTTAGAGAAGTCCCATATGAATTGAGTTTATCTTTGCAAATGACTGTCTTGTCCAAAATGAGAAAGGGGTTCATTTTCTTTAATCCAATACAGTGAATAGTGCTCTATTTAGCCGTTTGTAAGGCACAATAGCAGTCACTAAATGAATCAATGTTGATGCATCAAATAAACACATTTCATAAATTTGTTAATTTTTTTAGACGATTGAAAATTATTCGGAAGTCCCTTAAGAATTGAGTTCATTTTTGCATGCTTGCTTTCAGCCGAGAATCTATTAGAAACAACTTCACTACCTGCACAAGGTAGGGGTAAGTCTGCGTACACACACTACCCTTAGAGGCGGCCTAAGGGCAAGGCAAATGAAGTCATTGCCTTAGGCCCCCAAAATATTAAGGCCCAATTTTAAGTACTATGTGTCACATATATTTTATGTAAATATTATTAATAAAATATTTTAAAAGTTTTAATTAAAGATATAGAGCTGGGTGGTAAATAACGATAAATTTCTTTCTCGTTTAATTGAATGATGTATTTACCTTTATTATCAAATTTAATTTTTTTCTCCTGTATGTACACTCATGTTTTTTTCTAATGTTTCTAATGATTTTACTTACTAATTTTCAGTTTCTCTAAGTTGGTTATTTCTTTTCACCTTATTTTATTGATCCATCAAGCAACTCTTTTTTGGTTCATCTTTTTAAGAGAAAACCCCCCAAATGCAATGGCGCACAAGATTCGAAACAGATAATCGTCGTGCTCCCTCTATCTTCTTCCACTTAATTAATGTCATATTTTTATTTACGATACCACTAAGCCAAAGTCCTAGAGTTTGCTTTGTATCTTATTATTCTATGGATTTTATAAAAGAAATAAATTTAAGGGCCTTTTAATATATTTTGGCTTTACGCCACAAAATTCGTTGAGCCGCCCCTGACTACCCTATTCAGATTTCACTTGTGAGATCACACTGGGTAGGTTGTTGTTGTCGTCAGGAGTGTTAGCTTGACACTTAACCTTTAAACACATAAAACCACACCAATATTTTTCCATTAATTCATGAATATATATAGTTCTACTATTACACTTAACTGAAATACAAGATCAGAGGACAGAAAACCCCAGTAAAACCATAAACTACGAAATAAAATGCGACGGAAATCTCATAAAACTTCTTTCAGTCTTCGTATCTCTTAATACTAGGGAATGAACTTATGACTTTCTATCTTCAAACTCTTCCCAGTTACTTTCATGAGGTCCAGATGAGCTTGAAGTAGTACCAAAATGCGATGAAAATCTCATTAAAACTTCTTCTTCTTGCTTGTAACTTGATTGTAATTGCCTCTGCTCATAAGAAGCTGGCAATTCCGATAATGTACTGTTAGATGATGATTGCGCAAAATCAAAAGAAGCAGATAACTGCTGATTATAACTTGGCGAGATACCGAAGTTTAAATCAGTAATATTGCTGTCACTCTGAAGTAGCTGAGCATAGTGATGTAAACTAGGATAATGTTCTTGACAAGGGAGAGGATGATTATTATTGGAGCTAGTTGGAATATATTGTTGTTGAACAATATTATCAGGCAAGTGATGATTTTGACTAGTAGTAGTAGTAAGGTATTGGAATTTGCCTTGAACTCTTTCAGGGAAGTTGAGTTTGGCTTTGTTGCCTTTGAATCTGAGAGCTGCTTCATCGTAGGCAATTGCTGCAGCCTCAGCAGTTTCAAAAGTGCCAAGCCATACTCTAGCTGCTTTCTTTGGGTCTCGGATTTCGGCTGCCCACTTTCCCCATGGTCTTTGCCTCACTCCTCTATACCTTTTTCTTCTCGAATTCCCTTCACATATTATACACACACTGTTATTAGATTGATCACCTAAAATCTCTCCATAACAACATCCTTTGTTTCGAAACTTTTTGACTACTATTATGAAGTGCTGTCATAGAAAATATATATTATAACATAACATGAAAAATTAGTTCCAAAGAAAACTTGACCGTTATAGGGAAGTGTTATTATAAAGCACGATTGTTATAGAGAGGTCGGACTATATACGTATACGTAATAACTTGAAAAATAATATTATTTCTATAGATTATCTGCAATAGGGAGGTTACGTTACATTGATAGTGTTAGTTTTTTTTTTTTTTGAATTTCAATGTATATAAGATAAATTCTACTCCTATTAAGAAAACTTGATTAGATTTGTTGTGATCTTGACAACCGAGGTCGGTGTAACTCTAGGAAGAAATTGAACTAGTTGAAGTTAACTGCTACCTAATGTTCCTTGCTTTTCTTTTTCTTTTTCTTTTTCCCCGGAAGTCTTTGTTTTCCTTTCTCTTTTGTTTTGCTTCGAAGAAATTTAGTGGGAAGAATGAAGGAGGAAACAATCAGTTTATTTCCATTTAGGGAATTAGAAACTAGAATGTCAATTAATTAAGGACGCCACCCATAGTAGTGGTCATGAACAAGATATTAATGAGGTGCATAATTAGATTATATAGAGTTATAAAAATATGTATCGGCTTGGGAAAAAAGAAATGAGTCAGATAATACATATAATTAAATATAGTAATCTTTTAAGAAAACGATTGTCATTCTTCAAGCTACGTACAGAAATTCTGCCAACGAATATGCTTAGCAACTTGTAAAAATATATATATATATATATTTTTTTTTTGCATCTATGTTAATTAAGAACATGGATCTTGGATCTAACTCAATTCTGGAACTAATTTAATAGGTTAGCATTGTTCAAGATTATATAAGGAGACGACGACAACTCACTCCCTAACGTGAGACACTTAACAACACAGTGTAATCCCATAAATAGGTCCGGGGTGTGGGGAGAGTAGTGTGTACCTTGATCCTCAATAGATTGAGATTGGTTTTGGAGAGCTACAGCAGATTGAGGTAGGGTTAATGGAGTAGCATTAGCAGAAGAAGAATGGGTGGTACTGTTTCCAATAACTTGAGAAAGGACAGAAACCATAGCAGACATGTCATGCTGAGATCGAGCTGAGTATATATTATAGAGCTCCTCTTGAAGTTGAGGATCATCAATATTATCGTTATTCTCTTTCTCTTCCATTTCCATTTCATTGGATGAAAAGTCCCCTCTTTCCATGCCTTGGATCCACTGTTTTTGACTCTTTAGTTTCTTCTAATTAACAAAACTCTAACAGTACTAGCTTAGCAGCTAGCTTTAATCTGTTTTAGCAACCAACTCCAAAGTAAATGAAACATGGAGGAGGTCCACAAGGAATGGGGGAAGAAGAAGAAGATATTAGGGTTTACTATTCTTGCTTTTTATATCCGAATGTGAATACTTTAACTTAGTGTGGACTACACTATGGTCTATAGAGAGAATTGTGCGGTCCTACTTTTTTTTGGGATGCTTGTGTAATTATGTCACATAAGAACAATATGTATATCCAACTGTTTATGCTTTCTTCTTATCTTACATTCATATGGGACAAAAGGTAGCGTTTGCGCCAAAATTTCGAAGAAGATTTTTTGGAAATTTTACTTTTTAAAGATTTTGCATAAAAATGTTTTTCTACTTAACATAAAGAAAAGAGAACTTTTTTTAGATTTTGCAAAAACTCAAAAATTGCTAAAAACTTTTTTTCATCGTTTGCAAAAGCTGAAGGAAAAAACTTTTTTGGTGTTTGGTTGATAGCAAAAAAAATATACATTAAAAAGGATATTCTAAGATAAGAAACCATGTTATGAAATTTAATTAAGTACAATAATGCTATTAATAAAATTTGACAAATAGTGTATAGGACTCATAGAAAAAGAAAGATAATACTCATATAACTAGAAAGGATATCTCTTAATTTTAGAGGTATGTATACTGTGAGATATTGCCAGGAACGAAAAAAAAAAAAGGAGAGCGCCAGGAGAAAACAAGACTAAATTAGCTAGCAGTTTCTATTATATTTCGTTAATATATTCAAAATTTATCTTACTTTATCATGAATTTCCTTTTATATCTAAATCTGAGAGTACATTTGATTTATATCATTCTATACTACTGGTACTCGAAGATTAAAGGAAGGATAAATTAAGTGAATGAAATTAAATCTTGTTGAATTGCTTCACAACAGCAAAAGGTTGAGGTAACCGAAATTTCCACATCTTAGTTAATTATGTTGGACGGTAACAACAAGTCAGCGACCAGAAACTAGCGGTTTTACGAACGTAATATGGCACCCCTTGCTTTTATAAAACCGCACCCCTCCACGAATGAGCCATCATTTTGGCGAAAAGCAAAATACTCATTTCGTCTGTGTTGTATTTATTTAAGCATAATATTAAGGTTAAAATTTGTAATTTTATTTTTTCCGAATGAAGATGGGTCCACAGCAAACGGTAAATTGATTTTTATTCGGACTCGATTATTGTACATAATAACTATTGCAAGGAATCATCATAAAAGGAATTAAAATTTTAAACAATTTCAAATTGAGACTTTTCACATATCTAAAGATCTATCAATAAGATGTCTTACCGTGATTTTCTTCAAAAGTAATTGATAAACAGAAGTAAGACGTAGATTATTTTTGGGTGTTTGGTTGAAGGGATAACGATAATAATTCGGAATAAAATGTGAAATTGCTCCATCCCATGTTTGGTTAAAAAATTTGATCGGTATAATTAGTCCCAGAACTATTTCATACCACACTTTGTGAGATAACTATCCCCGAGTAAAATAATAAATATCTTCCTCCAAAACTCTTATCCCAGGTACTTTTAAAAAGCCAAGATTAAAATTGGAAAGTAAAGTCTATCCAAATTTATCTAATTTATAACCAAATACATGTTATATTGTGTTGTATATCTCAGTTTTAATCCAATGAGCTAATCATCTAAAAAAAGAAAATATGCAGTGAATAATCTCATTATAATTTAAAAGTACTACCCACCCAACAACACCAAAGGAAAAGAACTTCCGGTACTGCCAGAGGAGGCGTCACACCACCCATCGGCTTATTCGTTTACCTTGGTTCTGCCAACTGCCTTTCAAATTGCCAGTTATTTTGCCAGCGGCAACTGCCTTTACTTGTTGGGAGCTTGTTGCAAAGTAATCGTGATTATCACAACTGGAAGGTGATCACGACGCCCTTTACTCCTAACGAGATTGGAATTTGCAGAACAGAAGGCAATGGACATGGTTTTTTTAATCAACAAAGCAATTACAACACGATGCCGGAGAAAACAACATACCCAGTATATTCCCACATTGTGGGGATCTGGGGAGGATAATGTGTACGCAAACCTTACCTCTACCTCATGATAGAAAGATTGTTTTCGATAGACCCTCGGCTCAATGATGCTGAAGAAAAATATCAGCTAAATCTTCTGGGCAACATGAAGGAAGACGCGACCAGAAATCTAAAAGCAAAACTTAGTCTTGGGAAGCCAGCTCCAAAATGGCAAATAGCATGGGGCAATAGATGAATCAAAATCAATATGTACAATTATTATACGATCATAAAGTCGGCTGCACCTTTCTGAACCGCATAAATTCCAAAAATTGGGAAGGTAATTCTGCTAAAAGCGATTGAACAACTGAGACATCTCCATCTGCAAATCAATGATGGCGTCAGTTCATACACGAGAAAACAAATTGCCTTATTCTCTCAAGCTCTTAAGAAAGTTTGATTTTCCTTTACTATACGAGGAAGCTTTAACTGAGAAATTTATAGTAGCCTACTTTGTACATCTCGGAGAGGAACAAATTGTACTATATCCCGCACAGCAACACGTCCAGTTGTAGACTCTAGCCTCTCTCCTTTATCAGCATCTAATATCTGTGAAAACGGATCACATGGGAAATCATCACAGTTAATTGAATTGGATGACACAAAAAACACTGCTAGCTGAGGAAATAAGTTGTTGCACTTGCATACCTCCATTTCTTTGAAGTCTGCTCCTCCAACCCCAACAATAAGAATTGACAATGGCATATCCGCAGCTTGAACAAGAGCATCCATTGTTTCTTGGAGATCTGTTATCACTCCATCCTGGAAATTTTCAAAAATATTATCACATTGGAGAACATATGACATTCAGTTATAAAAGTCTGTAATAAAATCAAGTTCAACTAAAATAAGATAGACAAAGTTCAATTTCCAACAAAAATTCAAGTTTGAGGTTTCACTGCATTTTTATGCGTTCAGGTGAAGTTTATGATGTATATGCATAAAGATATATACACATGATTGAGAAGGGATCGGTTCACTAAAACTCTGATTGGTATAGCAGATGATGGTTAATATTTCACTTGAAAGGTCTAAAAAAAATGATGTTCATCAGGAAATCAGACAAGACATAGAACATAGATAATGAAATGTACCGTGATTATTAACAAAACGAAATACTTCCGCTCATTGTTCGTGAAAGACTGACTTGCTATATGTGCAGCAGAGGTAATCACTGGTCCGAATAAAGTTGGACCTGCAAGTGAAACATTATGAAGAGCACTCATGTATGCCATCATGATACCCTGGATTCCTTCCACCTAGAGTTTAAGGGGAAAAAAGAGCTGAAATTAATAACAAAAACAAAATACAGAAAGCTAAAGCAATAACGAATTTGGAAGTATATAAGGCTCTCTTAAAAAATACCTCACAGTAACTGTTGCTACCATTTAGGTTGAAGCAATGAGAAACTGGGCCATCTATTGGCCGTGCTCCAAAACCCCAAGCAGGAAAATGTTTGTCTGTATCATAATACTGCAACACCTCTCCAACATCCAAGATTGCCTGAAATTGATATGCTCATTAAATAACTTACTTCATATGAGGGAAACATATCAAATCATTATTACTGAGACAATATTCTTACTCTCTGATAAGCATTCGGCCGTCCTGAAGGGTCGATATAATGCAATGAATCAGGGAGGCGTGGATTTCCATTGGAAGCTGACATACAATAATTCACGCAAGAAATGATTACAGGCTCAGATGCAAGCTAAGCATGAATGCAAGCACTAACATACAGAAGCTTTTTGTTTCAATAACAGAGACATCCCATGTGAGTTAGCTGGCCCTACCCCAGTTGGCCCACAGGTTTGGAACTCCGGAGAGTATGGACCCTCCCCACTACCCTATTCGAGCTGTTGGTTGCACTTAAATTTCTGAAAATTTGCTGTATGTGTAAATTCAATGCAGAAGATTATTGAGAAAAGATGAATGCAGCCAACAACTCAAACAGGATCTACATAATTGTTAAAAATTATTCCCTCCGGTCCATTATAAGTGACTTTTTAGCCTTTGGCACACCCCTTAAGAAAATACGTACTCCTAGAGAAAAAAAGATGTATTCACAAAATTACAACAACAACAACAAACCCGTTTGATCCCATTAATTAATTGTTACCTTGACACATTGGGATATGTAAATAAGGGCAAATTTTGGAAAAATAAAATTAATTCATTCTTGATTATGTAAAAGAACACTTATTTTGGACCAAAATAAAAAGGTCAAAAAGTCACTTATTATGGACCAGGGGGAGTTTTAGTTTTTCCCTCCAGGGATATTCTGACATAAATGAGGGGGGTTGCAAAGATTTTCACATTCCATAAAATCTTTAAGTTAAGCTAACATTGGAAGAATAACAAATAAGAGTTGTCAATGGAGGCATCAGTCCAGCCCCGACTGCGCATGCGAAAAGTGGAAGACGCCCAGAGTTTGTCTAAATAAATCATGCCACTGATGAAGACGACAACTATGATTCCATGCATAGCTATGGAAACAAAGGAAGACTTACGAGAATCTGGTATTTGGAGACATTAAATAGGTACTTGAAAACATGAAAATATATGTATCATTAGGCAAACACATACCAGTGAAATCAATGGCCACCATGAAGTTGAGTTCATAGCCCCATGCCAAGTAATCAAGGAATGTATACTGGATTTTCTCAGAATAGCTTTCCACGAAAAGCTGACTCTTCAGAACCTGGATAAAATCCAGTGACTGATAATTAAATAAGTTGCAATAGCAGTATTGTTTACCTGATTAATAAGCTCTTACCTTGTTTTGTTGATTAGGTCCCAGAGCAGCTGGTATAAAAAGATTTGCACCAGTACCAGCAGAATGTAACTTTTCTAAATCTGACAGTGACTTGTGAATCTTTCTGACAATCAGGAGAAATACTGTCAGCTTCCAGTCAGTAGAGGTCAGAAATGATGAAGAGATGAAAAACGAAGCTCATTTACCCAAGTAAACTATGCTTGCCGTTGCTATTGAAGTCATAACACTCGATAGTTAATGGGCTGTCCTGCAGTAATTCAAATGTTTCTAAACTGAAAATCAAAGAATAAACATTGTGCAGAAGTGATATCCCTTTCGATTATGCATCATACTGTCAGCACAAAGTAGATGGTAATTTCCACAGAGGAAAAGTATATTACCAATCACATCCCCTAAAACGAGTGAATTCTTAAAGTGCAGGCTCAAAGTCAAAACCATTAACTACTTCGATGAGTAAAGTTTGTTATTGCACAAGAGGGCAAG